CCTCTAAACACTCACAATCCACCAGAAAACAATTTGCTTTTCGCAGGAATAAAAACGAAAATAACCACATAGATCTTTGTCCTCTTGGTGTCTTTAATTAAAATGCTGTGAGTGGCTGCCATCATTCCTTCCTAACAGCATTATGAAAGAGCTGAATGAAAACTTAGCTCAAGGTCATTCATTACAAAAGAAACTCCAGTCCCTCTTCATCATCCACACAGTGCAACAACAACAACAAAGTGGCTCACTTGGTAGATAACACAAAGAGCTTGCTGCTCTTTCTCACCAATTCCTGAAGACGCAGGAGAGCAGGGAGGAGATTGGCATCGGTGTCTCTCAGCAGCTCGGCTTTTTCCATTACCTGAAATATATACATGTACATTTGAGCTTACGTTGTAACATTCAGTAAACTAGAGGTTGTGAGCGGCCTTTTTTATCACTGCACATTACTGCTTTATATGCTGCAAGCTCACTTTCAAATATAAAGAAATGATGAAGCCAAAATACTAGATTAAACCCGCTCCTGTGTTGGCTGAAAATCATACTTATTTTCTTCAGGCTAATGCATCTGGAGCTTTGTTTAGCATCTATTTGCATATGTTATCACTACTAATCATATTATCATACAAACATTTAAGTGACACGTCCAAAGAATAAATTATTTGACATGCCATGGATTATAGTATATTAGACTGCCAAGTGAGGAGTGATTTTGCGGCTTGCGCGTAAAGTGCACGGCACTCACAATGTATCGCGTCTGCTTGGCAGGAGACTGGGAGCACTGCTGTCTGTAGATGCGTACAAAGTCAGACAGGGAGGGACTGCGGGGGAGCAGCGAGGCAGCATCGCAGCCAAAGAAGGACAGCAGCACTTGTTCAAACAGCAACGCAACAGAAACACATTCGACACAGCTGACTGTGGCATGAGGCAGCTGCAGAGAGAAGGAGAGAATGATGAAAGACAGTGTGATATCAAGAGTTTATACATCTTCCTATCACATTGGTTCTCCCTGTTGCTTTTGTTGCATACTGTAAACTGCCTTTAATATAATGACAATAAAGTATTATAATGTGTAAATATTGTAATGTTGTTGTTGATGTTATAGAGCTTCAACGATTTAAAAACATCGCTAATCGATTAATCTTTACATTCTTTAAACTACAATCCAAAACATTTGCTGGCTGCTACTCAAATGAAAAGACTGCTACTGCTTTTATTGGTCTTATATGAGAGTAAAAACTGAATATCTTAACATTTTGGACTGTTGGTTGGTCAAAACAAGCATTTTGAAGACGTCACTTTCAGGCCTGCGTCGATTAATTGAGAAAATAATCAGTTAGGAACTGTATTGTCTAGATTGTGAAAAGCTAAGGCTTCACCACACAGCATTAAAAACAATATACGACAACAATCCGCAGGAACAAAATATCATTTTTGGTGTCAATAGTGTCTCCCTGAGACTAAAAGCTTAAAGCTTTATGTTTAAAGGTCCAGTTTGTAACATGAAGGAGATCTATTGGCAGAAATGTAATATAATATTCATGTTTCATTAGTGTATAATCACCTGAAAAATAAGAATTGTTGTGTTTTCATTACCTTTGAATATGCTGTTTTTATCTACCGAGGGAACACTGGTCCTTTAATTCACACAGAAAGTTATACAGAAAGTTGTGCAGAAAGGTACGTTTTTTTTTTCTTTTAAATCAGACGCCTAGTTATTCGATCCATAACTCTTAAACCATGAAGGGAAATATAAACCTACGCACACGGTGGAAGTGCACACACAAAGCTTTGTGTGCATTGAGAAATGAAGTTTATTGAAGGAATCAAGCTGCGATCCTCAACTTTCTGCACTTTCAAATAAATGTAATATTTCCAGGGACTAAGCACTCTTTCAACGATCTGATGAAGGAAGCTCAGTGTGATTTTTAAGTTCCAGCCTCTTTTTAAAGTTTATAAAAGACATCAGTGACTCAAACTCTTGACACAAACCTAATTAACAGTTTGTCCAGTAAAAAAAAAAAAACTTTACACAGTTGCAGTTTCTCATTTTGATAACAAATTTAGACCCCCTGACTTGTACATTTGCACAAACAAACACCATCCAGCCCCGAGGGGTCCCTGAACTCACAGCACATGTCTCTTTCTCACCTCAAGTTCCTTCAGCAAAACATGCATCACATAACTCTTTCCTGAAGCCCGATGACCATAGATGAAGATGGAGGGGTAGCTGTACTGCTGAGGCTGTAAGAACAAGATTCAGTGTGTTTTTTATTCCGTTTCATTGCGTCAATCCATTATTAATAATAAAAATCCAAACAGCCATGTTGTTAACTTGAACGTCATTCTGGCTTTTATGATCAAATGAAATACTGTTGTTACTGTCAGTAATAAACTGTAATGCTAACGTCACTTCACGCCTTCACTAAAGACATTCTTAGCTGTTTAATAGTCAATTTCCTGAACAAACTGATTAGTTGATTTAACAGAATAATTTCCATGAGGCTAGAACTAACAACAGAGATCTAATGACAAACTGTTCATTCTCATAAAAAGATCTACACTGAACATAAAGTAATAATAGATGTTTAGGAAAGAAGCCTTTATTTTATCCTTGTAAAGCTTAGTTTGACCATTAAAACTGGATACTGTTGTCATGTCATGTTAACATCTTAAGGCCTTTTTTGCTTTTACTGAATCTTAGTGAGTTTTTCTCTTTGATTGATCACATTTTTATTATTCAACCACATCTTACTGTACTTCAATTAGGACCGCACAATTAATGGAAGTGCAATATGCAAATCACAGAAGCTGCACTTTTTATGACATGGGTAAAATGTGTGTCAAAACAGCATTATAAGGGAATAATGTAGTGCTGACCTACACATCTTGTTCTCCAGATTAAAGAAAACATGTTTGTTTGGTACAGACACCCCAAAAAACTTCACATCATCATGATTTTAATATTTTTTTGGGGGGTGAAAATTACATTTGTGATGTGAAAATGATCATTCCTAATCTAACTGTGAATAAATTGCAATATCTGTTAAAAATAATGGCAATATGATGTTTTTACCATATCGTGCAGCTCTAACTTCTCTTTGCCGCCTGTTTGTCTCAATATTTTCTATAAAATTTGATGAAAAGCACACTTTGAGCTGTATAAACAACATCAAAACGACAATTGCTGACCCTTGAATGTAGAAAACAAAAGTACGGAAGCTGTAATTTTTTTGATAAAGGTAAAATATGTGTCAAAACAGCATTATAAGGG